AGAGAGAGAGAGAGAGAGAGAGATAGAGATAGAGAATCCCAGAAAATCCGAGGATTGTAATAGTGACGAGGCAAAATCTCAATGTCGACACGTATAAAACGAGGTACGGCTAAGCATGTACCGCTTTTACGATGCTCGTCCTACTTTTCTTCTCTTTTTCCCTCTATCTTCCCTCTTTCCCCCTTTCTCTCTCGTCTTGGTAATTCTTGCAAAGGGTCATATAGAATACGCGTTCTTCAAAACTCAGGGCAAATACTTCCTCGTGGAATTTGTCCTTGAACTTAATTGCACGCTATAAGGCTATCTCTTTTCCATCGGATTTAGTATTCTTTGGGAATAGAAGAACACGTTATCAAGATCGTTCTATTTTCTTTATTATTCTATTTTCGTTTCTTGATTTCTTCCTTTTACTTTTTATCTTTTACGATCATAGTTTTCAAATTTTTCATGCGATCTTGCGTATTTAAAAGGAATACGTAACAGTAATATGTATGTATGTATATATATATGTATACTATCGAAACGTTCGAAGCAAGCGTAGTAGCGAAGCTTTTTCAGCTTTCGACGTAACAAATCGATTTCTTCTGACGTCAATACGAAACGTCTCGTTTATCCGGTATACCCGTAGAGTCTAGAGAAGAAGCTCATCTTTGGCTCGAGAAAGCATTATCGCGGTATCGTTATACAAACTTGCCAATCGGTTCATCGTTAATAACTCTTTATCGCAAAAGACGACGAACGACGCATAGTTACTTTTCTGTGAGCTCGCTTTGGTAAGCTGCCAAGCATGAAACGACACAAACCGGTGCTGATAGATCTAACGTCAATAGAAAAGGTACAATTATTTCGGAGATAAAACAAACGAACTACGAATGATGTTGTTTGTATTATTTTTCTTTTATTTTTCTTTTATTTTTTTTTGTTTTGTTACCTTAAGTGTCATCATTTTCTTCCCCCCTTTCCGAACAAACAGCACGCAAAATTAATTGTTATTCCTAGTACAATTATTGTTTCAAAATTAATTGATATATACGTAATTCGATAAATAATAAGTCATAACGATTAGTTGATCGTACAGTAGCGCACATCACATTGTAAGTGTCTTCTTCGCATGAACGATAATAACTGAGGAACCTTTTAAATCACGTACCGCTACGATATCAGCTGAATCAACTTTTTATTCCCCTTGGTCTAAATAATTATCGCGATTAGACGCGACGCATGTGCGAGATAATACAATATAAATTGATTTACAAATTTTTATTCCAAATTTACGTAGTTAATAATGGTAATAATAATAAGATCGAAAAAGAATAATTAGATTTGTAGGTCAAGCAGGTCGTTAACCAAGGAAATAATCGGCACGTGTCAAAGATCAAAGGAAATAATCGAACGTAACTAATAGAGTAGACATACTCTTTAGTTTAATACTTTTTAGGAAGTATTCATATATTCTGAAAAATGATTCCTATCGATTCTTAGATTAAAACGCCGAACGTTTGAAATTTAGGAATAGTCGGTACTGCCTTACGTAGATCGTCGACTGTACACGCATAGGAGATACCACTTTTGATATCTTTAGGTTTCCAGGTGAGCCATTTGATCGTCGAGCTGATATCCTTGCATATGTAGATGTCTTCCGTGATCGACTTGATAAAGGGATGATTCAAACCGACGAATGCGGTACCTTTCTTACTTTGTGGATCGTGGATTATTTTCCAATAGAATTTGGGGACGGGAACAGCTTTGGTTGTGCCATTGACGTAGAGATATATATCTTGTTGTTTGCCATGATTATTCGGCATGGTCATTTGACCGTGTACACCCGTATAAACATCGAGATCTAAAGAACGATTAGATGCGAACTTTTTGACGTTCGATTCGAGCTCGTTCCAATTGCCAGAATTGAAAGACATCCATTGAGGCGCCGCGTTCAAAAACCAAAATGTCGACGATTGCAAAGCACCGTAAACGAAATCAGATTTTGCCGCCAAATGTCCGCGACTCAGAAACTGTACTGTCTTATTTAAATGGGACTTAGCCAATTCGGTCGAATTCAAAAGTTTCGCAAGTGTTTGAAGTTGCCTCTCGTAAACGTATTGCCCGTTAATATCTATCTTTCCGAAATAATCTCCAGCCGTCCATTTCCACGGTCTGGAAAACAAGATTATCAATAATTATCAATGAAATTACGACTAGGGAAATGTGACAGCCGGCCAAATCGAATTTTCATACTTTTTCTGAAGTTTTCCTTTACTCTCAGTTCGAGTATATTCGTCGTTCTACGTTTAAAAGGAAATAAAATATTCCTAGGAGAAAAAAAATGTACATACCGAACGTGTTCCTATCGTTTATCGTTCCCGTTTCTACCCTCTAGCAGATAGTAGATATTCGCGTGTTTTACTTTATAACGTTAACCCGCATATTTTTTTTCTGTTTCTATTTGCAAATAAAATCGTTATTGGTCGTTTACCTTGGATAACTTCTCTGGTATCCATCGATCCATTTCGTCATCCTAAATTTCGTGTAATACGTATTATAGGTTTGTTCATTGCGACATAGTTCTATTATGCGAAGGAAACCGGTAGTCAAATTGAAACCAATTTCAACGTGAGCACTTTTATCGTCGTAGCACCACGAATTCGTACGCCTTGCCATGTTTTCCGGTAAATGATGACACGTTAACGATGAAAAATTTTTATTTTCACCGTTAACGTTAAACATTTGATTCCTTACGCAGGTAGCTTTAACTTCCTTAAGGTATTTAGTTTTTTTCACAAAATTTGTTTCACCCGGACATGCCAAATAAATCGACTGACCTGTTTGCATTTTTAACGTACCCTTTAGGTTGGGATAAAGTATATTCGATACAGTACCATTTCGTGTTAGAATTAATGGCTGTGGTTCTTTAAGATCACCATATTTATATCTTACGGACAGGGCACAACCGTAGTCTGACAATTCTCGATCAATTGTATCTTCTAAAGAAAAATAAAAGAAAAAGATACGTAATTTCACTTATAGAAATGTATTATTATTATTAAACGTATTTATATCTCAAATATTTCATTCTCACCATTCTTGATTGATCTCCCCGCGACTAATAAAATATTAATAAAGTGTATCACGATCCACAGCATGATACTGGTTAGACGTACTCTTATCGGTTGTCGCGATTACGAATCAGTCTCTCCTGTTTTATACTGTTTTCTAATGTTTAATGATTATTATTATTTCCTATCAGAGTTTGTACAGTTGTCCGAGATATTAGTCATTAATGGAAAATTGTTTTTAAATTGTATTATCTCTCTCTATCGAATACACATTGATAAATAAAAAAAGATAATTAATTATAATGTAGGTGTGTAATTATTTTTACATATATTACGTAAATAATTTTCTTCTCTAACGGTACGATAGATGATTTTACATTTTATTAACAATAATATAATTACGATGAAGTATTATTGATAGGAAATTCCAACGATCGCGCTTGGTTATCTAAAAATATATCTAAAATATATTTTCGTGAAAAATAAGACATATGTCTTATCAATTCTCGATTGATGAGTTTTCATTTCGTATATAGCATGTAGATAAAATCGATCACGTTGATTGCGTTAATATTATTTTTATTGGAAACATTATATCGATTCTGAACGTAATACAATTAACGTATATATTTAGATAATCTAAAGTATGATCGAATTTTTGTGCATGGTGCAAAAGGAAGAAGAACGTGTCTCTTGCGAATATATAAAAACAAGATGCAAAATGTAAGATATCGAACAAAAGGCATCAAGGACGAAATTCATTTGGTATTGTTCATTGAAGTAGCGAGAAAGTAGCATCGAGGTCGACACAAACGTAGAGCTGATCGCAGTGAAGTGGCAAAACTTCGATCCACTTGAACTCGGTAAAAGGAGGGAGGGGGGTGGGGCGAGGGGCGAGGGGAAGAAGATTGACTCCATGTAACCGAGTTACTCCACTCGACGGCAACGTAAGAAAAAGATCTCGCGGCAGACGTGACTGGATACTCACTCCCATTGTTTCAACGATGTGAAGACACGTGGCGAAAACTTTCAACATTGAAAGGGATCGGGAAACTTTAAAATTTAGACGTTAGAGGAGAATTTCATTATTTCATGGATGGCAACTATCTCGTAATAAATTCGACGAACCGAAAGCTACGCGCATTTACGAGTAAAACGAGAAAAAAAAAAAAAAAAAAAAAAAAAAGAGGATATCTCTTGAATTTTTCACGTTTTATCTCTCTCGTAGTAATTATCGCGCTAGAATGATTATAAACAAAACGGACGAAAAAAAAAGAAAGAAAGATGGAAAGAAAGAAAGAAATTAAAAAAAAGAAAAAAAAGTCAAGGAAAATAGAAAGAAAAATAACGTTGTTGTGTGCAACGCGAATCGTTGCTGCTAGACGATTTTCTCGTAATAAGAAACGTACGTTTACTGAAATTACCCCTTGTTTTATTTTCTTTTTCCTTTTTTGTATTATAATCTCCAAGTTTTCTTCTTTTAATCGTTATCCCTAAGCATTTGTATATTTCCCTTCGTCTGTCCGCAATATACGATGGTAGTAGATGCATGTACGAGTCGATAAGAGAGAAACGACAAGAACACGGGGTACAAAGGAAAAGGTTGAATAGGTTCGAGAGGAAAGTGGAGGGTACGTTGAGTGCTATTTCACTCGGTTAAACGGATCCCTGAAACCAACGAGCTCGTGTCAGCGATGTTATTTATTTCTAAATTTCTCTCTCTCTCTCTCTCTCTTTCTATATTTTTTTCTTTTTCTCTCGCGATCTCATTTACCGAAGTCAATTTCCTATCTCCTTTCTTTCATTCCTATTCCTGGTCAGAGGGGCGTTTATTATGTCTATGAACGTCCAATAATGCGGAAACAACTGATCTCAACAGACGGAACGTTAATATCCGTCTCGGTCTACGATGACGAGTGTTGCTTTTCATATTGTAAGAATTCGTGTTAAATTATATAACAAAATGCATACGCAAAAAGTTTCTTCGTAAAATTTTTCATTCTCTTTGGCGAACTTTTAAGGCATCTTGCCAACTGCCCGTCAGTATTACTATTCTTCAGTGATCGTATTTTCTTTTTTGAAACCAGAATAGAGAAACACACATACACACACATATATTTCGTTTGTATTATTTCAACGTGCTTTTACTCCTTTATTTTTCCAACTTTAACCTCGGATGCATTAGCAATGCATATTGAAACGTGTCTAAACGTATTTTCATGTCAATACATCAAATATAACAAGTTATATCATACATATATATATATAATAAAAAACGTAGACAATTTTTATTGTTTTTATAAATATATATATATATTTCTATAATAATTTTTGATTATTTTATTCATCTGCTTGACGATAACTATACATCCGGTTATATCGGATTTTCCTTCAACCTTCTGACCCTAATTAAAATGACCTTTGCTATTATCGTTCTATTATTATTATTATTTTATCAAGATCAAGAAAATAAAAAGCCGAAGATAATAACGCTTGTTGGCGTGTAAGGAATCAACGATAATCGTTCGCGGCATAGCACGGACTAGGAGAGGTGTCGATAATTTCCTACGAAAGGAGGGTAACTCCACCGAGCTGACTGCCCTATTAAGTCTCTTGTTATGTTAAGGGCGTATCACAAGAGAGTGAAAAATAGAGAGAGAGAGAGAGAGAGAAAAAGACAAAAATTTTAATACCGAAAATATGAAAGATGATGTACCTTCATAACTTTTTCGTAATGTTAAACAAAATGTAAATGTTGTGAAAAAAAAAGTTCACCACGGATTATTAGCCACATTATTTCGTTTACATGCTTCTCGAATATTTATGAGACCCTCGAACGTGCCAATGTTTACGGCAAGTTCGCGTGCGCAGATTATTATCGAGGGTTTCACTCGTGCAAATGTATTTTAAGTGTGTGTGTGCGCGCGCGTGTTCTTTCATTCGATTTCTATCGATTTTCTAAAGATACATGTAACGTTTTTGAAAATTTCTCTCTCTCTCTCTTTCTCTCTCTCTTTTTTTGTCTACTCCACGTACCAATCCTCTTGACAAAGATCTTCGAATGTCGGGGGGTTAGAGATTTTTCTTGAATAGAATAATACTCGAGAAATACTTGTTGCTCGGACAGGAATAGATACGGATACGATTCTTCACCGGAGAAGAATCGATGTATATTCGAATATCTTAGCTTTGTCGTTTATCGACAGACGTTTGACGTAAAAACGACGAGGATTTTTACGTACATCGTATTATCAATTTCCTTCGTAGACGGTTCGCGAATGATGCTTTTATCGAGTCCCGACAGTTGGAAAAGCAATGCACGAATATACTCGATCTCTAACTTCCAATCTCAGAGAAATCACTCTCGTTGATTTATTTTATACGAGGAGAGTAATAGGATACGAATTATATTATTATTCTAGGATTATTTATCGAATGGGACTGATTTATATATCAGGAGTTGTAATTCCAATGCTAATAATAATAATAATAGTAATAATGCTATATCAAACACAAGAACGCGAATATATCTTTGAAGGAAAATAATGATCCAGTTATACTTCAGCATTCGTTGTTTCCTTATAATATATATATATATGAACCGTTGAAAGTGCATAAGTCACTTTTTCATTCAATTACAACTGAACGGTATCTTTTGATTTTCAATTAAAAAAAAAAAAAAGTGACTTATGTCACTTTCAAAATAAACGGCTCATATATTGAAAAAATAATTACAATCGAGATTGTAGTTTTGGCAACGTTGACGCGTTTAAGATCTACATCGTTGAGCACGATGATTGATAACGCCCGAACCATTACGAGGTTCGGCACATTCGATGAATGCATTCGCGGTTAGCGTTCGTCGGATTGCCTAGACCGTTATTGGCTTTAATACAGCTCGATCTCTGATTCCAATTCAAGTCTGCCGCGGATGTACAGGCTCGTTTATGGCTCAATAATGGCTAGCCATAGGTACGTACGTACGTACGTACATACTTATGTATATATATATATGTTTATATGAATATGTTTGTACGTATGTACCTATCTATACCTGGCACGTGATTTCGTCTATCCTAGCGTGCTTAATTATTATCGCTTACGTCTTTTCTTTTCCATTGTCATAGGGGACCATTCAGCGTCGTTCGGAAATGCATTCACCGACAGACCAGGCAGACTTTCGCTGTAAAAATCGTCGACGTGGCCAAGTTCACCTCCAGTCCGGGCCTGAGTACAGCTGGTGAGTGTCTACAGGATATATCCGTACGCCTCAGCCATTAATTTCCGCCGACTGTTGGAAACATACAGTGTTCCTTTCTCCCTTCTCTTTCTACACTCACCCTATTCCCGACCCTTTTGCCGGCTTTCCCTATGTATATATACGTACTTACGTATATACATATATATACATACATACATTCATACATCTGCTTCTTTTAAAGCTCGTTTTACCCCATTGCGCGAACACGCATTCGCTCTTTTCCAGTTCTTCGACTTGTCTATTCGTCGCAAGCATTGTGCGAACGAACGAACGATACAAACGATACGAATATAATGCGATATCGTGTAACAGATAGATATGTATATTGAAATTGTCATTATCATAAATGATGATGACTAATGTAAGATATTTTTCTCTTTATATAAATCGTACAATGCTTCGCTCGAGGACATCGTCTTTTTTTTTTCTTTCCTATCTAACGTAAACGTTAGATCGAATTAATATTCTCTCATAGATCATTCCTATTGCAGATCTAAAACGCGAGGCCACGATATGTCACATGTTGAAGCACCCGCATATCGTCGAGCTACTAGAAACTTACAGTTCCGAGGGTATGCTCTACATGGTATTCGAATAGTAAGTATATCGAATTAAAATGAAAATTAACGCGAGCTTAACGTAAAACGTGTTGAAATAAACCTGTCCGATTTTTCTTCACGATCGTTTCGTGAATAGAATTATTTTAACTGGGCGAACTTCAAGTTTTTCCCGTTACTTTGAAGTGGAAACGACTTGAAAAATATATCAGACTGTCATCATCGTTGTTGTTGATAAAGCCAAAGGAGAGAGAGAGAGAGAGAGAGAGAGGGGAATAGATGTTTCGCTCCATCGGATGATGTATATCGTTGAACTGAAGTACTATGCAAATTTTTAAAGTATTTCAAAGGAACAAAGTTTGCGCGAAAGAGGGGAACGAAAAGGATAGAGTCACGTAATAATTTCTTTCTCTCTCTCTCTCTCTCTTTTCTTTTTCTCTTTCTCATTCATTCTCGTACACTTTAGAAAAAACCTTTCCAGGAAAAATTCTGGCTTTTCAACCCCATTCAGAGCAGTCGTACCTTTATATATCTCAAAGATGTTTCCTACGACTTTCATTCCCTTTTTTTTCTCGCGTTTAAACAGCATATATACACATACACGCACAAACACATACACAAAGACGGTTAAATTCTGTAAAATATCTCAAATAAATAGGCATTTGGTCGGAAAAATAAATGCGACTGGGATTAACGAGTAAATGGATCTTAAATTGGAATTTATCCGTGTTCGAGAATGAAATGAATGTTTCAAACGTGTGTTCCGTAATATATTCGGATAGATGATTATTTTTTTTCTTTCCCATTGATTTATCTAAAAGCGATGTGGGGAAAGTTTAACGATAAATTAACAAACGGTACACGAGAAAACGAATCGACATAGTATAAATTATGTATTAACATTACAATTCTCTTTCAGTATGGACGGTTCGGATCTGTGCTTTGAAGTAGTTCGACGTGCGACTGCTGGTTTTGTCTATAGCGAAGCTGTTGCTAGGTAAGATCAAAATTGATTATATATCGATCGTTATTGTTTAATTGTTCAAACAATTTATTATTAAACGACGAATAAGCATAATTATCTGACAACATTTTTTCGTTTCAATAATTCTTTTTTTTTCCTTTTATAAAAGATACATTTCTTTTTTTTACCAAGTACGCTTTCCCTCCCTCCCTCTCTCTCTCTTTATTTTTTCTTTTTTCTTTTTTTTGTACTCTTTGTATTATTTTCTTTATTATGAAAATTCCTACGCTCGAGTCGTTTTACTTTCATGAACGAGAAATACGCTGCAATCAAGGTTGCTACGGTTTAGTTAAACTCTCGAACTCTGTACGATAGGCACATACCAACGCACTAGTATGTGTATATATATATATAGATATCTATACTTCTAGGAACGGCATATATGTATATGTTCTATATATTCTAGGATGTCCTCCGGAAGTTATTAAAAATCTCCCATCCTCCACTGACGTTTAAAATCCTCTTTGGTCTTTTCTCTCTTTCTCTCTCTCTCTCACTCTCTCTTCCCCTCTCCATCATTCTTTTCGTTTCGATTAAAATTCTATCCCTTTACCAGTTGAATATAATTGATGGTTTAAAGATTTGAATTTCGTTTGTCAAACGTATATAATAAAAAAGATTCCTTTTTTTCAAATTAAACAAACCGCACGTTCCAATCTCATTCGTCATTTTTATCGCGTGGTCTTTGTACTTTTCATTAAATGTAAATGGGGGAAACTTTATTTGTTCTTTTTTTTTTTTTTCTATTTAAAACTCAAAGGTTTACTTTCGTTTCGATAAATTCATCCTTAGAATCGGGACCGACATTCAACGGTGGCGGTGGCGGGGTCGTTCGCATTGAGAAAATCCTGACTACCGGTGAGATTGTAATCTCAAGGGTCCCCATTAAAACTCCTCTAACTACTGGTACGACTAATGTTGAATGAGTACGATACAACCGACTACTCTGTGTCGCATTAGACTACGAGTTACGGTTCATATTTCATCTGGACAGGGCCGATTACACGAGACTCCGCTTCAGGCAAAATGCTTATCGAATATTCTGACAGATATAGAACGAATAGAAGAAACTGACTTCAATTTTTCTTATCCTTTAAATCATCTATGATAAGTCCTTATCTACCAAGATATCTCGAATCTCTTCTTTTCTCGTTGTCTTCTTGACTTCTTTAAGATATTTGATCCGAATGATTTTAACGAACTGTACGAATACAATTGATAATCAAATTTTACATCCTTTTGTTATATATATTATATTTTCAATTGACGGAATAAATCAGATTGTTAAATATTAGGATTGAATGAAAAATTCGCGCGAATTAATATTATTTCACTTGCGTATTCAAGTCATTTTATTGATTTAGACAAAATTACACTATCCTCAACGCGCGAACTTTTGATTCATCCTAATAAACAGATACTTATCCGTTGATTTATAAGTCGAATTTCTATATATACTATATATAATGATAAAAAAAACATTTACGGAAGTAGAAGAAGAAGAAGTATAATATAATAATAAAGAAGAATAAAAAGAATAATAGAATCTCTTATTTTGAAGAGAAAAAGTTCAATGGCGCGAAATCGTTGATAGAAGAAAGAGGGGGACAGGGGGCTGGGTGAGGCAGGGAGGGGACAGGGTCGAAAGCAAGTGGGTTAAAGAGCTCATACTAACTCGGTGGGATGCGTTTCAACGGTTGAAAATATACAGAGTTAGCTATATATATATGATCCCGCGGCGCACATTTTCACAAAGGAAGAAGTAAACTAAAGCAGGCATCATCATCTCTCTCGCTTCTTCTATTTTCCAGCCACTACATGAGACAAATCCTGGAGGCATTGCGCTACTGCCACGAGAACGACATAATCCATCGTGATTTGAAGCCGCAATGCGCCCTACTAGCAGGAAAAGAAAATTCTGCGCCGGTGAAGCTGCGCGGTTTTGGTGTCGCTGTGCAACTTCCTGCATCCTCGCAAGCAAACGGTGTCGGTATGTTCAATCTTTCTCTTACGATTCGACCGTGTTTGCACACACGTTCTCTATCTAATGTATACTCTCTCTCTTTCTCTCTCTCTTTCTATCTATCTATCTATCTCTCTCTCTCTCTCTCTCTCTATCTCTTTCTCTTTCTTTCCTACCTTCCTTAGGGAGAAAATTGCACGACGTTGGCTCTCTCTTTCTTTTTCTTTCTTTTCCTTTTTCTTTTTTTCATGTTTCCTTCCCTTCTTCCCCTTCAATCTTTACTCTACTCCACTCCTCTCCTCCCTTTCTTTTTCATCCCCGTGTCATTCACTTCCATTCTCCCTTGATGCATGTACATACGCGTACATATACATGCATACTTATGTACGCCACTCACGTTGGTGGGTGTATTGACTCCTGCTCGAGTTCCATTCGTTCTCGAGAATGGAAAGGTAGAAGAAGAATGTATTGGCCATGCCTATCGAGCGAATCCCGTTCGTCCTATTTTTTTTTTCTTCCTGAAAACACCAAAGATTTCTTTTTCCCTTCGACGAAAATCAAATGGGGGGAAATCCAGGGAAGAATCTTTATTATCCATAAGAAAACACTTTTGCCGGGCGTTTCCATTGAAACGGGAAAACAATTTGGTTGAACGACAATCTTTGTCTATCGGATTTGTTATTATATGAAATTTTTTCGATTACGTTTTATACGACCGAAAGAAAAAAAAAAGAAAAATGGGGGAAAAAAAATCTACGAGAGATTCGTCGAAGTGGAATTCATTATCGCGCCCACCCCTACCCTATATCCTTTATTTTAACTATATTAATCTTGCCAACGTCGTGTAAATACTAATTTAACATCACTCTCCCAAGAAATAATATTATATTACTAATAATATATATTTATCATATTTTATTATTTTTTAATATTATAGTCGGATCTCAGCTGAGCTACTCGAACATATATATATATATATATATCGTAACGTTTAAGCGGTTTTTTTTATATTGAAAGGCAATATTCAATATCAATTCCGTAACGAGGAAAGTATTATCGAATATTATCGAGTTCCGCATTGATATTAATTATTTTTCAAGTTTCATCCACTTACGTAACTTCCGCGATAATTCAATCGAAGTTATTTTATTCGCGTTCCAATCTCGCGAAAGAGGAGGAGTACACGTACAAACCGCACACATTGAATGCTCCGTTAATCTCGTGTGATAATTTAATAGATATTAAAAATTAAGAAAGAAAGGAACAACATTCACTCGCCTTTTTTTCCCCTTTTTTTCTCTTTCCCCTTATCACCGTCTAATCGCTGGAAAAATAAAAAAGAAGAAAAAAAAAAAAAAAGCAACCAGAAGATAAAATTGTTTAATTCCTGACCTGTAAAAAGAATTCTGTCGTCGCGGTCAATAGAATTTATTATTTATGATAACGACCTTAACGAATATCGTTGTTGTACCAGTTCGACCTCCTTTTTCCACGGTTCGGGGCTCTGTGCATTAATAAAAGTTTTCAAAAATTTAGCAGAGAAAGAAAATGACGTAAAAGCGATAGGACTCGGGAAATATGTTCTTTTGTTGACGACGAGCGGTTAGTTTGGATAAGTTTGTATCGGCACACACACACACACAAACTGAGCTTACGATGATTAACTTTATTCCAAGTAACAATCATTTTTTTTTCCTCTCTTTTTTTTGTTTCGTTTTGTTTTCCTTTTGCTTTTACTCGAGCGTGTTATGGCCACCATCATCGTGGCTAATGAAACTTCCTGTAGTATGCATAGAATGTGATCAAAGGGTGGCGGTATCGTCGCCAGCAAATGACGTTAAATTTCTGCATCGAGTTATCATTTACGTTACATAATTGCAGTGTAATTAACGCGACGGCCTGTACCGGTCATAATCGGAACAATCGAGCATGAAGAAGCGCGTTCGCGCGACACCGTATATATATATATGTGTTTGTGTGTGTATGTATATATATATATATATACGGTGGTCTTTCTTTGGAAGATGGTATTCAATGTGTGCCTTTGTAGAACCTCTAATGCAATATTTTTGAGCATCGATTCGTTCTATTTCCGACAATGTGTGATCCGATCAAAGATATTGCTCGCGAACACACGATTTTATGTGTGCGTGCGTGTGTGTATATGCGTGAGTGCGTGTACGTGTGTGTCTCTTGGTTTCTTTCCTTTTTTTGTCTTTTTTTTTCTTTGTCATTCTCTCTCTCTCTCTCTCTCTCTCTCTTTCTCTTTCAATGGTCTCTTCTTCTCTTTCTCTCTATCTCTTTCTCTTTCTCTCTTTGTGGGAATGCCCTGTTCTGCGATAGAACCCATTGGCTGGCTGGCTTGATCGATGATTGGCAGTCGTCACATTGAAAATTTCTGAGTGTTCGGTGTGCAGAATGCAACAACGGCTTTTATCGGTTATATATATATATTTTGTACTTTTTTAAAAAGACACACTAAGTTTTTCTGCTTCTTTAATATTAAGCCCTCAATTGGTATTTCTCTATTACGATTTTTTTCCACCGCTTCGATATCGCGTGCTTTTCAACAACGTGAAGAGAATCGAACCGAATCGAACCGAACCATCTGAACCAGGCAAGGGAAGAGGAGGAGGAGGAGGAGAAGCAGCATTTTTCTTTCGTTGAACGAAAGTCAAATCCGTTCTACGATAAATATCACGACGATCAAACGATCGTAGATTACAAATTTCTATGTGTTTTTTGTATAAAAAGCCTAGACGACGTTGAAGCGGTGAAATACGTAGAAATATATATATATATATATATATATATGTATTATATTATAATTTCGATTACTTCTTAGGAATCCTAATGGGTTTTCGACGCGAAATAAGTAACGTACATATATATATTTAATTATTATATACATATATATATATGTACATACACGTTTGCCGTTGTATTGCCGTTAAGAGCTGTTGAAAGAGTGCACCTTAATATGTCGGTCAATCCACTTTGATCGGCACTCCTTCTATCGCGAATTGCTTGCCAGCTTTCGGAACGTTTTAAAGGAAAATGAATGAAACAAATAATATATCCATCTGTTGAGATAAAATATTAATGTTGTAAATAATATATTTTATAACATGGTTCATATACGATATGATATTACTTATATAATCAAAATGTGTGTGTGTGCGTGTGTGATTAATTAAATTAACGATAATCCTTTATCCAATTTCATTTCCAGCCAAAATAATCGGTGTATTTATTAACACACTCGCGTGATTTATTTATAGATTAATATATTTGTGTGAGAAATAAATTCTCGTAAAAGGGGGGCATTTCATTATTATTTTATTGTAGACAGTTAGTTTTCTTTTTAAGATGTAGAGAGAAAGCCCGATAGTTTATTGTACGAAACATTTGGCCGACAATATAAGGAAGTAAATCCCTTCAAGCACCGTTTCCATCATCCACAATCTTCAGAGTTCCGAACTAATTTGACAGTATAAGAGTAGGACAGGCACCAATGGGAGAACGTTTTCGCGAACTAGGACACTTAGCCTTCGCCGCGCCCTTTTTCGAAAGTAAATCTTTAATAAGCGAACTTACGGGCCGAGTTGTTTGAAGTAGATATTCTTTATCATCGCGAGAGAGATCAACTTCCTTACGATTTTTTTCTCCTTACAAGAGAGTTTCAATACCCATACAAATAATAAGAAAGTTAACGAAAAAGAAAAAAAGAAAAATGCAACTTAAAATGAAAGTTTGACTTGAACAAAACTTTGACTTCGTTTATCCTTAAAAATGATGACGTTACTTTGGAACATATACACCTCGGGCATATCTTATGTTAATGTCATAAAAAAAAAAGAAAAAGAAAAGAAAGAAAAATAGTCCATTATATTATAGTTAACATACGAGACAAGGAGAGAATAAAGTTTTTGTGTTACGAGAGTTATTTGATAACCTGAAATTTGGTTTGAATGAATACAGAATGTTACACGACCGAGTATCGGCAGTGTCTGAGCCCAAAGGGGCAGCTCTACTTGAAGGCCGACAGCGAGGGTAAGCTTGACCTTTAATCATCACTTCCGCTGGAGCCTTGTATCATCACGCCATATATATTACACATACTTATTACGTCAACCCAGATTGTATTATGCTACATTTTAACCCGATCCGTGTCTCCCTATCACATTACTGTATTCTAGAAGCCGCCACTGCTTGCTTGCTTGCTTTCCGCGTACCAACGATATCAGTCATGTTGACTCATTTTCTGTATAGGGTGTCTCTCTAAACCTGTGCTTTAAATATGCCAACGAAGTTCATGAGTTCGAAAAGAAAAAAAAAGAAAAAAGAAAGAGCTTCGTTTAAATCTCGTTTAATCTTACACTAATGATCGAAGCTTTATTTGAAATCATATTCAACGAACACGATCTTTACTTATTAATTCTTTTATTTAAAATGAACTTATAATTTGTACTTTTTCACTTATCCAAAATTTGGAACAAATACGAGACGAAAATACGCTATTTGTTTATATACTATAAATACAAATTGTTGGTTTTTTTTTCCTTTTTCTGGCGAATGAAAAAAAGTTGTTCCGCTGCTTGCATTCTCTTATTTCATTTTGTTCATGTCTTTATTCTTTTAACGGGATTCAACACTTGAGCCACGGCCAAACTCTCTTTGTGTACATACACAATTCCAACGTATTTCGTTACTTAAATTATTCATTACATTATTGTTCCAGTTTGAATTTCACCGTGAAACGAAGAGAGAAGAAACAGAAAAAGAAGAAAAAGAAAAGAGAAAAAACTTCGAGCTATTTTTCGTCGAGTTATCGCGCAAAAAGTTTTATTTTTTATTTTTCATTAATATGATTAAAACGAACTCATTGGCATTCTTAAAGCACGCATCTGAGAATATCCTATACATAATTATTTTCCCCTTTTACGTTTGATCATATCAAATACACATTTTAAATTACAACATACAATCGTTCTAAACACGTTAAACGTTCGAACCCATTCACCCATCGTACATTGATCTATATTCACTTTCAATGTTGATTAACGTCTCGATGTAATTCATGTCAGTATGATTATAGTTATATCATCGTCGGTGTGTCACCATTATAAATAAAACACATTAGACGTGTGAACGACGCTATGGCGAACGTTCGCGACATTCGAACGCATTTCATAAGTCCATACATCATTAACACTCTCTCTCTCTCTCTCTCTCACATATAATTAATGGTCACATATATATTTATATATAACTTTACTCGATGATTGCACTATCCTTTACCTTATAGGAAAAAAAAAAAAGAGAAAGAAAATATCTAGGAAAAACTAAGTAAGATAAATCGTGAAGGATATATTTATCACATACAACCGAAACAGTGTTCCACGTATCGATCGAATGAAAAAAACGAAGAACGTTAGATACGAGCGGTATATTACAAAAAAAAAAAAAAAAAAAGAAAAAAAAAAAGGGAAAAAAATATTAAAGGATAAAGTTAAAGTAGTGAAATTTACTGTAGAAAGAAATATCTTCTTTTCTAGTATACGTTCGGTAATTGTTGAAAAAAAAAAAAAAAAAAAAAAATGTAAAAAGAAATGCGAAAAAAATATTAAAGGATAAAGTTAAAGAAAAGAAAGAAAGATAGAACGGCGCATCACGTACAGGTCGGTCTTCTACGAGCAACGACGATGTTCGATGAAACCATCTCTCTCTCTCTCTCTTTCTCTCTCTATCTATCTACCTATCTATCTATCTCTTTCTCTCTCTCTCTCTCTCTCTCTCTATCTCTCTCTCTCTGTCTGTCTCTATTTCTATATCTCTGTTTCTCTAATTGTTAAATATAATCGACGAACGATAGCAGAGGCTGCGTGAAAAATGCGTTATATAATCCTAAGGATTGTAAACATATTCCCTCTCCTTTTTTTTCTCTCTGTGTTGTTTCGATAGGGCTGACCTCCCCGAGCTGCAATTTCCCTTTCGAGGACCTGACCGACGCCGAGGATTCGTTAGTCAGCGACACGGAGGACAACATTGGTATTGATGTGCCTGCAAGATCTCCGTAAAAGAGTGGCGTAACGCACGGGGGTAGAAATTCGACACAAAAACAAAAAAGATTTATGTCCCCGCGAATATAAAAGTGTATTTCCACACTTGTTTACGGGTGGTACATCGATATTCGATTCTTTTTTTTTTTTTTACAGCGCGTACGATCGTAATAATAATAATAAAAAAAAAAAAGAATCAAAAGGAAAAGATCCGTTTTTTCCGTAATATTCGGCATTATTTTTTTCTTACTTTGAGAGTTTCGTATATTAGGATATATGTATTTATATATAGTTTATACGTATGTATCGTACTCTATTTATTTTTATTTTTATTTGATTTTATTTTATTTTATTTCTTTATTTTTATTTTTCGTTTTAGTATGTCATTCGCTTTATCGAACGTGATAAAAGTTATCAAATCGATTTATACAAAAAATGCGAATACTTCTCTCGAATACTTTTGACATCATGATTGGTAAGGGACTTTTCTTTTTTACCCCCGTGTCGTTCGGTCATACCCGCTTCTCTAATAAATCTAATATATATATCTATATATATATATATATATATATATATATATATTATATATAGATACTTATATATCGCGAGCGTATTTATAGAAGTTCCATTTGAAACCTGTGTGCGGTAGTGTGTCCCCCCCTCCCCTCCTGTAAAAGTCATTGTGCAGGCCGCATATAGTTGACAGATTATATATATATATATATATTTATTGTGCCGTTGAGCTGCCCTAAAACTTGGAGATGAAAATGAAAAAAAAGAAGAAGAAGAAAAAAGAAAATAGTACCCATAATAAATTATCGAGGACGTCCCTTTCCATAGTTTCAGTTTAACCCCCCCAGTCTCCTCCGTTTGTTCTTCGACGTTTACGCCGTTTTGTAGCGCCGAGAATGATCCGAGCTCTGCTTCTTCGTCGTAGTAGTATAAACCTATGTAAATGATAAATTTATTCTTGTAAGAATCGAAGGGTTCGTTACTATGTCCGATTACAACGTTAATCCTTCGTTTTTGTCCCAATTATTTCCTATAATAATTTTCATTATAACGTGTTTATTATTAAATGTGCAGTAAGAGGTATGCGCTATCGATGGATGGGAATGCATGTGATATATACCGTGCATGTAAATGTAATATATATATGTATATATATATATACATATATACGCGTGTACGTATCTCGAGTAATAAACCCTTCGATAGTTTGTTTGTTCTTCTTTTTATTTTTTATTTTTTTTTAAATGTTTCATATATTACTTTTTATTAATTATGAAATCGATCGATAATAATTGTCCGAATAAAAAAAATGTGGGACTGTTTATTGTCCGTCATTGTCCGTAGTAATAGACTAGCCTGTCTCTTTGTGTGTCCGTTTATATTTGTATGGCTTTTATGTTCGTTCGTCTACTTATGATCTTCTCGACTCGACTAAAACGTAATTAGGAGATATTTTAAGAATATAATATCTCAAGATGTAAGATTATTATTCTTACTGTGTAATATAAATCTACATGAGGAAGAAATGAAGATAATTTTGTAATTGTCGAACAATCTTTTTGGAATATAATACGATCTCGGTGGATGTTTCGGTTGGAAATTTATAATTGAAAATAGGTGTATATATGTTATACCTATATATCATGTATATCGATACTTTATTATTTGATTTCCTTACAAAGTACAAAGTATAGTGCATCCAAATGAACGATTTTATCATTGAAACATTCGAGAACGGTATAATTAGGTATATAATATAATCAGCACGGATTAATTCCAGTGATTGAAAAAAATTAATTATCGAACTCATTAATACATATATCAGCAAATAGAAATAATTTCTATTTGAGAGCTTTATCGTTAAAACAGCATAACGCATCGTATCTTATCGTCGTCGTTGGTTTTGTTGTTACGAGCGCAACGTTGCATTGAAATTTATCGAATCAATCAGATCTTTTTTTTTTTTATTTATTTCTTTGAATAATAATACGAAAAAGATCGTCGTGAATTTGAAGCATTGCATGTTGTAATGTGTTATTCATGAAAAATCCTCGTTTTATTCTAGCGTCGACATTTTTGTTCATGCTTTTCATTCGATTCTTTTCACATATTATCTTCCTTGCACTTTTATATTAATGTCTATTTGTAGTATTATGTCACAAAGCGTGGTGTGTAGTAGATGTAATTAAATTTATTAAACGTATACGTTTATATTTAATTAAATTCTAATTATCGTTCTCATATATTCATATGATAATGATGATCATAATAATAATCATCATCATCATCATCATCATCATCGTCATCCTCATAATCATCGTATTTTCATGCTCATATTGCATTTCGTTTATGTTTGAAAAAAAAAGTAAGTTTAGTTACGACGAATAGAAACGTTGTTCTTTCATACTTCTCACACGTCATTTTGATGTTGCGAAAAGTACGACCGCCGTGAACATACATATGCCAAGGTCTTAACAAGAGTTAATTACTTCAACGAGCTAAATTGGCCTTTTAAGAAACAAAATGATTCTTACGAACAAAACCAGTGTCGCTGTACCTACCAACGAAACGTGAAACTTACGCGTACAAATGAAAATGACACGTTTATACGTTATTTATTAAAATACCCGGTGTTACAACTTTTCATATTACATCAAATACATACATACATAATACGTATTTGTTAGTTCTCTCGCGAATAAATAATCTCATCGCGAATAATTACGCGTTTAAATTGCATTTAGGAACCAATTTGAATTTTTTACGAACAAATATACAATAATATATATGTATAAATGTAGAGAATCTCTAATACGATTATTTTTTAACGATATTAAAATATTTTCTCAATACGAATTACGCATTAATTTACAGGCATTATAGGACATAATCATTTAGCACAAAGCTGCGACACCCCGTGTCTCATATTTATGCTCGCTTTACGTGTCCTGTTTACGGTTTCACGATCTGAATTTGTGACACGAACTCATGCCAAGTTGCTCGAGTCACCTATTCGATAATTATAACCAATGTCGATTGTCTCGAAATTTAGCTCGATTATTTGTTAATAATACGAGCATAGTGTGAGGAGAGAACACGATTTAATTGTTTCTTGATTAACTATTCTCGTTCTTTTCTTTTCTTTTAACAATCTAATCATTTTTCTTCATTAATCATCATTCTCATTTTTCTCTCATATTTTCGGTCGATGAAACAAATAGAAAAAAAAAATGAAACACCTTCGATTCATTTAAAATTCCTTCTTTCCCTTTTCTGTCTGTCTTTTCTTTCTTTCTTTCTTACTCTTTCTCTTTCTCTATCTCTTTCTTTCTAATTCATTCTATCATCATTTTCTTCCCCCCATAAGATTTCCATAAGACGAGTAATCATTCGTCATTGTGTTAATGCGCATGATGCATATCGAGAAACAAAATAAAAAACCCCTATAAAAAATAAACAGTGTCGTTATTCAAAACGCATTTCAAGCTTACTTCGCAGAAAAAAAAGAAATAAGAAAAAAAAAATCCAATCTACAGCTAAAAAATTTCCAATCATTATCATTTTCGGCTACGCTTTTATGCTTTTAATGGGGTCAAACGAACGACCCGGTCAACCCCCCTTCCCCCCCCATTCCCCCCCATATCTATCTATCACATTATTTTCTCATGAAGTTCTCGGTCATCACGCAGGTCGTGTTGGATGTCCACACTTTATGGCACCGGAAGTGATTCAACGTCGACAATATGGGAAACCAGGTGACGTTTGGTCGGCCGGTGTTCTCCTTCACGTTCTACTAACCGGCACGTTTCCATTTATGGGTTCTCGCGAAAGGCTACGGGACGCAATTTGTAGGGGACGAGTTCAGGTATACCCAACATATAACTTTTTTTATTTGGTTGTTTTGTTTTGTTTTTTCTCACATTCGTGGCTTTGCACACACACACAACGAGATTAATTAATTTTTAAAGATATGTATAAAACAAAAAGATGAGAAGAAAAATAGATGACATGGTTCCTTTCAATGATATATTTTATATTAAATTTGCAGATGGAAACACCGTTGTGGGACTGTATTAGCGAACCAGCTAAGGATCTCATACAGAGAATGTTAACGACGGATGTAAATCATAGGATCACTATTCAAGAAGTTCTCAATCATAAATGGCTCAGAGTGAGTAACAACAGTACGTTTGCTCGGCTGGTGACGATGCCATTAGGAACGACACAACGTTCTCTACGTACGATCGACGTCATCGACATGTTACGAGAGAGAAAGAAAGAGAGAGGGAGAGAGAGAGAGAGAGAGATAATAAATCATTATGGCACAGGCAACATTATATAAAGAGCTATGATGAAATAAAAATAATTCCGATCGAAGGGATCACACTTTACTGCTTGGAAAATAAATCTACACAGGGTGGTTGTGTTTTTTTAAAAGCCGATTTATATTTTCCGTCTCTGGTTCGTGTTTCAACGCGTATTTTTAATTTCTCCTTTTTCTTTTTTTTTTTTTTTTTTACCAATCTTGTCTTTACGCCTTCGTTACTTGAATATATAATAACGTAAGATCGTAACATATACTTTTGACATTTCTTTTTTTCGGTATAGATATTATTATTATCATCATCATCGTTGTCCTGCCATTTCTTGGCAACGTGGGTGCGTGCGCAAATGTTATAACCATGCGTGAGGTATGGTATTTAGTCAGTGACCTAAGCAAGACTCGCCGGTACGTGTATACCCCTCCCCCCATGTGTATATCGATGTAATACACGTGCAAGTGGGTTATCGATCGTTATCGTGAGGGCAAAGCTCCAGCGGTTAATGAAAATAACCATAGTAAAGTATACCTTTGGCCGCGCCACTTAACGTTTTTTTTTCTTTCTCATTTTCTTTTTTTTTGCATACTGCCGCGTGTTCGTGGAATACACACACATGTACACACATATATACTTACGTGCCTACCTACGCCCACACTGATACGAACTACCGAGGGCAGCAGCTTCGTAGCAAACCGTTACGTTCATCGTTTACTTTTCCTCGGCTCGACTCTATAAACGAAAACTACGTAGATTTTATATACTTATGTATGTATGTATGTATGTATGTATGTATATATGTATTTACGTACGTATGTATCTATGTATTCATATACGTAAGTACGCGTAAATTTATGTTCCGTATGTGAAATGCTAAGCACGTTTTTTTTTTTTTTCCTTATTTTTTTTCTATTTCTTTTTCTTTTTTCTTTGAAATGGCGAGATTTTCGTGCGAAAACTTTTCACCATTTTCTTTATAAAAGCCCACGTTCTATTATTATACTTTTATCGATAAAATTATGCAAGTATTGCCTTCCAAGTGGGACACCCGCTTCTTGACACGACGCACCTTATTACAAAGGCAACTATGTAAAATATGCTACATCGGACCCAACCGATCGATGATATGTACGACAGTGTGTCATTCTCTCTAAGACGAGTATTTATTTATTATATCTACTTACCTATATGTCAAATCGTTCGTTTTACTTAATCCAAATATTAAAGTTTGATCGTTTTGGCTGGAAACGGGCTTGTGCAAGCGGAGATGATGTAAACATAAAGTTTGTTGGTCGAATTTTCAAGGATCTCTTTCCATTTGTATTCGAACATGTTCGCGAACGAGTAGGACGTACGTCAAACAATTAAACTTTTCGATAAACGAACGGGTCTGGGATGGGATATATCAATTTCCTATACGTGTACGGTAAATGAATAAATGAAATTTGACAGGTGTCGCACATTTAATGAATAATAATATAGATACGTATATGAGTAATTACATATAATATTCATAACTGTATAACAGGAATGATTATTCGAGTAGTCTGGTTACTGTGTGTGTGTGTATATATTATGTAGGACATATCATTTATATATTTATATATATTCATATAAATTATTTCATTTGACAGGATCGCGATAAGGGAGCAGCGCGGGTACATTTAGGTGACACTATAGAAGAACTTAAAAAATTCAATGCTAGACGAAAATTGAAGGATGCCGTAAAAGCAGCTGTGTCTTCAACAAAGTGGCACGCCCCGTATTCGGAAACTAATGGCGACAGTTTTTCCGATGTCGGGGACGACGAGGTAACGGCTACAGGTACGTTTATACAGGTATATTTATGAGATATTGAAAAATGAAAATAAAAAAAAGAAACAAACGTTAGATCAATCGATAGTATATATATATTTGTATTTTTTTGTTTGTTTGTAATAGGAGCTGTTGCTGAAATTTTGGATTCGCTCGACGATATAGAAGTATTGCAAGAAAGCGGTAGACTGACGCGCGGTGAAATTCTTAACGCCGTCGAGGACTATCGCCTTCGTGCTATTTTAGAGGTACGCTATTATTACACGAATAACAAACACTAATGAGATCGTAATAAACAGGGGGAGAGTTTTCTATTGATAGAAACAAGGTCGTAACTAAGGGAACAGATTTCACGGATTTATTCCAAATTTAGCGCTAACACAACCGTGTCTCTGTCTCTGTATCTGTGTCTATGTATGATCACTTTCGACCAATTTTCACCAGGTAAAACTGGTGGATACCAAAGAGGGTAGGTATCGAATCGGCTGTGAACAATGTAGATAATACATTTTCCTAGGGGTAAAACAGAGAGAGAGAGAGAGAGAATTTTACCATGGCTTGGATTGTGTGTACCGTAAAAGGGGAAAGTCAACTTTTCGCTATTCTACTTTCTCTTATCGATTCAAGGTATCGTCGATGAAGTTACTCCCTACATTTTCACGGGATTTCAACTCTAGGAACCAAGTGATTCAGAAATTTCCTCAACCAACCCGAAGCGCCACCGTCTTTCACGGTGTTCTCACCACCGTTTACCCTCTCTCCCTCTCTCTCTCTCTCTCTCTCTCTTTCTTTACTTCTCCTCCCTTTTGAATCCCGTGGGAAAAAGTAGCTACCCCGTACGTACCACCCTCTTTGAACTTTCGAAAATGGCGCAAGCGCTGCTCGCTACGTTACCAAGATGGCCGAGCTTGGAGCCCTGATAAACAAAATCCCACGTACTATCGTGGGGGGGTCGTCGCGTTATCGGATCTACACGCGAGCATTATTGTTGTTGTTGTGCGGAATAAACTCGGTGTTTTCAGTCGATCTCTTTTAATCTATGTCTAACACGTTGCACTTAATGCAACGTTAACGAGACCATAACAAAAGGAGGCATGATCTTATCCCTCGATCGATACTTCATCTTAATCGCGCGTTTCAACTTCGAAAGATGCATATCTGTCAGTTAATGTTCTTTGGCGAAGCCGAATTGGCCGCCGATTTGTTAGAAATCGCTGGTCTTTTGGTGAGTTCAATCGGTCTGCGATTTTTCTCTCTTTATATATATAAACAATGTTTTTCTTTTTTTTTTTTAATTAATAATAATTAATATCGTTTTTCGAACATCTAATGATTTATATACGAACGATTTTCGATCTTTCCTTGCCGGTCCATGTTTTTCAAATTCGTTGATGATAATAAAAAAACAAACAAACGGACAATACGATGGATTTCGTTTAAACGTGTTTTAACTTTTTCTTTTATTTTTGTCTTTGTATTTAACGAAATCATTCGTTTTTTATCCAGGGTTAATTGATTGTAAATAAAATATGTTTTCAGCTTTACGATAGGATCTCAAGTCGCGTGCCCACACCATGCCGAGCGCCGCAAACGGACGCTGTTCAACGTGCGCGGGAAGTGGAAGAGATCCTTCGGGAAGCTGAACACTCGACGGTACGAAACATCGATAGGGCCGATCTTCGGGAACTTCAAGAACTTTTGATGCAGCCGCACATGAGGGTAAGTACCTCTTAACAAGTTCGATTATTATCCGATTATTATTCTTAGGAGATATCTTAACATGACGAGAAATTACGCTTTCTACGATATATTTTTCAAATGTAATCGCCGAACATGTTTAATTGTTTAGAACTTTTTCGTTAATAGGTAATCAAAATCGTATCAATGATATCATCTACGATTTTAACAATCGTAATAAATATAAATAAAATTGAATGATTCAAGTATATATGTTGAATCATTTTCTGCAACGTGTCAAGAGAATTGTAACAATTCATAGGAATTAGTTCGTTCAACGAAACGAAACGAAACGAAACGAACATAAATCAGAAGATAGAGGATGATCAAAATTTTGTCGATGACTTTATCTTTACATTGGTTCGTTTCGCATAGGTTACTTATCTGTACCTACTTACACCTTTCACTTCTCGTAACTTTTCTTTGATGCATATCGGAGAAGATATCTGTATCGTTCACCCTATCTATGTAAAGAAGAGTACCTTTTGGTTGACTAGTAGTATATTTACCTCGTAATTTGACATTGCCTCTGATACGCCGTAAATAGGGCATGGAAATGTAGGTCGATCGTTAAAATTCTCATTTAAAAATCCCGTAGTTACCGTTGCGAGGAGGGATCAGAGGGTTCAAGGGAATGAGAGGGTTATAAAACGAGAGAAACAGAGAACGAGATAGAACTAGCGGGAAAGCTAAAGTCTACGATTGCTGAGGAGAAAGAAGAAGAGGAAGAGAAAAAGAAAAAGAAAGAAATGGAAGAGAAAGCCACGCGAAAGACAGGAAAGGTAGAGAGCTTTGGAGAAAAAGGGAAACGCAGAAAAAATAATACAAACAAAAAAAGATACCCTCCCCCAGTCATCCCCGCCCTCCCAAAAAGGGGAAGAAGAAGAAGAAGAAGAAGATCGATTCTCGACGAAATGGAGGAATGGTAGTAGAAAATTAAAGTTCGTTCGTTCTGTTTAGATAAATACCGTTACACATAAAAAAAAATTTTCTCAATTAACGAATTGTAGAGAACAGATATATGTGTGTATGTGTGTGTGTGTGTGTGTGTGTAAGTATACTGTATCGTTGAATCGTCCTTCAAACGACGAGATATTTGGCATTCTACTCTGTTTCCAGTAAGATCGATATGGCGCCCTACTTCGATTAATATAAATGGTGCGTAC